GGCTTCCTTCTGAGCCTCAGTTTCCTGATCTGTAATATGGGGGAAGTCATTTCCACTACCAGAAGCATTCTGACCAGGAAGCTAATAATGAGCTTCAGGTGCCTTCTCTCCCACAGCCTCCTCAAGGCCCTGGGCCTGGTTTTGTAGTCATGATTTTGTATTTTTTTTTAATATATTTTTATTGATTTCAGAGAGGAAGGGAGAGGGAGAGAGAGAAACATCAATGATGAGAGAAAATCATTGATTGGCTGCCTCCTGCACGCCCCCTACTGGGGATGGAGCCCACAACTCAGGCGTGTGGCCTGACCTGGAATGGAACCATGACCTCCTGGTTCATAGATCATGGTTCAACCAGTGAGCCTCGCCGACCAGGCTGTATTCTTTTTTTTTCTTACAGAGAACCCTCCAAATTGTAAGAGCTTCAGGCCCCACAAAATCCAAATCCCCCCAGTATATACATATGAGATGAGGAAGAGATTAGCATGGTACCCGCACAGGGTCGGTGCCCGATTCACCCACCAGACAGTGTTTTTTGAGCACCTGGTGTGTGTCAGGCTCTGAGCTGCACACAAATCCCCGCCTTCTCAGAGCTCTTGGCCTCCTGGGGGAGACAAAATAAATTCTTAAAGGGGTCCAGGGACAAAGTCACTTACGATGGTGACCAATACCACAAGGAATTAAGTTGGGGGTCGGGGAGAGAAGGAAAGGAATGGTATTGGTGCTGCGGTGGTCGGGCGAGCAGGCCCCTTTGCGGAGGCGACTCAATCCTGTGTAGATCTGCCTGGAAAAGCATTGTAGGCAGAGGGAACAGCAAGGACAAAGGTGGCGATGTGCATAGAGTATCTGCGAAATAGGGAGAGGCCTGTGTGACCAGGGGAACGGAGCGAGTGAGAGGGGTGGCCGGTGGGCCGTGGCAGGAAGACGGGGTGTTCCTCTTACGGAAATAGCATGGGTTTTAACCGCGGGCGGCGGGAGAAAGATGGCAGCGAGGGTGAGACAAGGAGACAGTGTGAGATGTGCCGGGAAGCTGACACCCCGGTGAGTTGGGCTTTGAGCTGGATGGGAACAGGATAGAGAGCTCATTTCCTCAGCCGGGGGAAATAGAAGGAAAAGTCTTGTCATTTCCCGCTTGCTGTCTGAGTCGCAGCACAGCTCCCGGCGGGGGAGGCGCTGGGAGAAGGGACAGCTTCCTGCGTGTTTTGTGCCTGGTATTTTCCCCAGCGATGTCTCTCGTGGCTTCCTCTGGGCACCGAGGTCTGCCGGGCATCTTGAGATGCACCACGTGGGCCCCGCTCGAGTGACAGGGTCGTAGGCATGACCCACCATGCTGCCCAGCGGAGATGACAGGCATGTCCCCAGATGCTGCAGGAACAGTCCGGGGTGGCCACTCTGCATTGACAGGGGCAGGCCTGGCCGCTTGCACTCGGCCCAGGGAGATCAAAGCAGCCGGCACTAATCTCAGGGGAAGGGCTTGTTGTCACTGAACTCCCAGAGGCCGGGTGAGGAGGGGGCACAGGATCCGGATGGGAGGGGAGCTGTGGACACCCAGGCAGAGAGGGTGTGGCTAACTGTGAGGTCTGGGTGGGTCAAGCAGTGGGGTCTGCAGTGATCCGGCTGGAGAGGAGGGCGGAAGCAAGGCTGAGGGTGGGGCTTTGTCCTGGGGTGCTAGGGAGCCACGGAGGACTGTGAGCTGGGGAGGGGTCAGGTCGCCTCTCAGTGTAGAAAGAGCCTCCAGGGCCATGGAAGAGGGGGGGAGGGGGGACAGGCTTGAAGGGAGAGACTGGGGAGATGGCCCAGGAGAGGGGGCAAGGCCTGATCCAGGAGTGGGGACGGGAGGATGGGGCTGGGGACTGATAGGCTGTGGCTGGTGAGGGAGAGAAAGGGAGAGAGAGAGGATGCAAATAGGGGGTTTGTGACCGAATGGAGGGTGGGACTCCCAGGATGGGGAACCTGGGAGCTGGTGCTGGGGTGTGGGGCATGAATGGCCTGGGGGTGGCGGGGGAGCGGGATGGCCAGGGGAGATGGAGACTCTTGGGGCTCAGGAGTCATATTTCGAAGACGGTGCCTATTTGGTGCTTGAGACCACAGGAATGGTTGAGATGGCTGTCTTTGAGAGACACTGGCTCTCAGGGGCCTGTGTGGCCAGCGAGGCTGTTCCCGAGATGGGAAACTTGGGAAGGGGTCAGGGGACAGGGTCAGATCTGGGCTGCACCTTGGTCACATGTCTGTGTGGTCCCCCAATCTTCTGCTTGGCTGAGCCATGACCACCACCCCCCCTTGTCCCCAGAGCCCTACAGCCCCGCTGTGTGGGTGATGATGTTCGTCATGTGCCTCACCGTGGTCGCTGTCACTGTGTTCATCTTCGAGTACCTCAGTCCTGTGGGTTACAACCGCAGCCTGGCTACCGGCAAGCGTGAGTCCCCTTCCTCCATCACCCTACCTCAAAGCACCTGGACCACAGAGAGAGAACTACATTTCCCAGCAGGCATTGCGGTAGAGCGATGGCCCCTTGAGGTGGCAGAGGCCTCAGGGGCCACTGGGAATTGTAGTTCTTTCTGCTCCCTCATGGAGCCGAAGGGATTTGGGGTCCATGTCCCCCCCCTCCCGGCCCCCTGCAGGCCCTGGTGGCTCAACCTTCACCATTGGAAAATCCATCTGGCTGCTCTGGGCCCTGGTGTTCAATAACTCAGTGCCCGTGGAGAACCCCCGGGGTACTACCAGCAAAATCATGGTGCTGGTGTGGGCCTTCTTCGCCGTCATCTTCCTCGCCAGCTACACAGCGAACCTGGCCGCCTTCATGATCCAGGAGGAGTATGTGGACACCGTGTCTGGGCTCAGTGACCGAAAGTGTGTGTGTGTTTGGGAGCGGGAGTTGGCTGGGTTGGAGGTCACAGAACTTGTCACGTGGTGGGCAGAGGGGGATTCCTGGGGGGGGGGGGGGGGGGGGGGGTCCCCGGGGGTCCCCTCCCAGAAAGAGTTCCAAAATGGTAGAGTTCTGGAGCCCACAATGAACTATTTAAATATTCCCAGGGGAAGAGTGCTGCCAATGTTCCAGGGGCAGAAGTGCCCAATGGGATAGTCTAAGTGGCCGGCAAACCGTGGCTCGCGAGCCACATGCAGCTCTTTGGCCCCTTGAGTGTGGCTCTTCCACAAAACACCACGTGTAGGCGCGCACATACAGTGCGATTGAAACTTCGTGGCCCATGCACAGAAGTCGGTTTTCGGAAAGGAGATAGACGAAACAAGTATACAGACGAGTGTGGATGGGAGGGTTGGAAGGGGTCGGCCTCAGCGAACGTACCTCAATCAGATTGAGGACGTTTTTAGCAAAGGCCAGCTTAGGAGCACCCTAATGAAGTTAATAACAGTGTACCTACCTATATAGTTTAAGTTTAAAATATTTGGCTCTCAAAAGAAATTTCAATCGTTGTACGGTTGATATTTGGGTCTGTTGGCTAATGAGTTTGCTGACCACTGGTCTAGACCACCGTTTCTCTCAAACTGTGATGAAGAACTAATTTTTGAAATTTCTAACCCAGTGGAGACCAATGCTTTTATGAAATACAATCGAAATGCATTACTACAAAAGTGAAATTTAAAATGGAGACATGCAGAGTTAAATTGCTCTAAACGCTGACTCTCGATTTCTGTACTTGCCGCATCGGGGGGTCACCGTTCACTGGGTGTCAGGACCCCTTAGAACAGCAGTTCTCAACCTGTGGGTCGCGACCCCTTTGGGAGGTCGAACGACTCTTTCACAGGGGTCGCCTAAAACCATCGGAAAACACACATATGATTACGTATTGTTTTTGTGATTAATCACTACGCTTTAATTATGTTCAATTTGTAACAATGAAATCGGGGGTCACCACAACATGAGGAACTGTATTAAAGGGTCTCGGCACTAGGGAGGTTGAGAACCTCTGCCTTAGAAGGTCGAGCAATCCATTCAATGGATGGCCACCAGCAATTTGTTTAATGCAATTGAATAGAAGAGAAAATACATCTGACTGCATCTTACGAAATAAGGATGAGTATGGCTTTATGAAACGTTTGTCTAGTCACATACACACTTGACACTGAGCCAGCACACACCTGTCTGGCTGTTTCTGTGGCTAAAACAGTGAACTATGTCTGAACAGATCGGTAAATAACAGCTGCCCGGCTCCCCTCCTCCCCGTGCCAGCCCCAGCCCCTGCCCCTGGGACCTCCCATGGACCCAGCAAGTTAAGGGTTAATGCCTGGCATATCAGGGGCCTCTGGGGTCCTTCTTGAAACTCTGCAGCCAGTGTCTTCTTTGACTGGACCATGACCAGGCCCTGCTGGGGGTTAAGTATTTTAATATTACTGATTATGTGTATATGTAATTCGTGCACGGGTGGGGTCCCTAGGCCTGGCCAGCGATCAGGGCCAGCTGGGGCCTGCCTTCCTGCCGGCTGCTGGCTGGGGTCTGCCAGCCAGGGGGAGGGACTGTGGGAGGTTGGCCAGCCGCCGATGTTGGGTGTGAGAGCGCACTGACCACCAGGGGGCAGCTCCTGCATTGAGCATCTGCCCCCTGGTGGTCAGTGTGTGTCATAGCAACCGGTCATTCTGCTTGTTCTGGCATTCCGGTCGTATAGGCTTTTATATATATAGATAAAAGGTTTGTGCAATAGGCCTTCCCTGCCCCTGGCTGCTGGCACCAGTTTTCCTCCGGCACCCGGGACCCAAGCCTTCACTCTGGCCAGAGCCGCCTTCAAGCCTTCGCTGCTCCGGCCGGAGCCCCTTCAGTCTTCGCTCCGCCGCTTCACGTCTACATATGCAAATTAACCGCCATCTTTGTTGGTGGTTAATTTGCATATCTCGCTGATTAGCCAATGGGAGGTGTAATGAAAATACGGTCAATTACCATGTTTGTCTATTATTAGATAGGATTGGTATAGGTATAGGTATGGGTATAGGTATAGGTATAGGTATAGGTATGGGTATGGGTATGGGTATGGGTATGGGTATAGGTATAGGTATAGGTGTAGGTATATACCTGCAAATGTATACATATCTGTGGGTGGGCAGTAGTGTTTCCTACTATAGGCCGCTGTGAGCAAGTTTGAGGGACACTTGCACTGGGGTGTCCCCTAGCTGGAATGGACATCTGGATGGAGTTCATCCTCACCCCGACGGCCCCAAGGGGGCGCCCTAGTAACTCTCCATTCTGCCCTAGTTCCAGCGGCCCCAGGAGCAGTACCCGCCCCTGAAGTTCGGGACGGTGCCCAACGGGTCCACGGAGAAGAACATCCGCAGCAACTACCCCGACATGCACAGCTACATGGTGCGCTACAACCAGCCCCGCGTGGAGGAAGCGCTCACGCATCTCAAGGCAGGGTCAGCGCAGACTCGAGCGGGAGGGGGCGGGGGGTGGGCCGGGCGCCCTGTGGATGCTCAGAGATGGTGAGGGGGTGAGGGGTGATTTATTGGCATTAGAGGTCAATGCGGGGTGGGTCAGCTTGGAGGGCACAAGGTCACTGTGAGTGGGGCGCGAACTCCCAGAAATAAGGGTCCTTGTGATGGTTTTCAGGGATCCAGTTCAATCCTGGATTTGTCTCTTCTTGGGCTGTGTGTCCTTGGGCAAGTCACTC